GGAAGGAAGGAAGGAAGGAAGGAAGGAAGGAAGGAAGGAAGGAAGGAAGGAAGGAAGGAATTTGCATTTTTCAGACATTAGAAGAAGCAGAAAGTGGAGAATCTGTCTTCACTGCCAGAGTTAGCTTGTAAATTTGTCACTGCAGGACAGCACACAGAGAGCTGAGCCCATGAAAGGCACTACCACAGGCTGCATCTGGCACAAAGATTTCTTAAGGGAATTGCACACAACTTTATCTGCTGCAATGAGCTGAGCCACAATTTTTTCTTTTCCAAGAAGGAGCCAGGGAAGAAATTGACTGTCTTATTGTATTGCAAAGAAGGAAATTACACCAAACCAAGACATGACTTGCTGCACCAACAGAGATACAGTCCACATCCATACAATCTAATCAGCTACACTAACTCGAGACAAGATCAGCTGGGGTGATTCAGATTAATAGTTCCATCCAGAAGTACTAGCACATATTAAAGTAAGGCATTTTCCTTTGGTATGAAATTTGATTCATAAATGGAGCTAACACCACAGAGAAAATAAGCCCTGGGCCATTTTCCTATGGAACAATGAAAAATGTGAAAAACAACTTCAAATAATAGTTATTTTATTCTTGCACCTGCATAGCCATGCTGTGCAGCAAATGTTGCTGATTAATTAATGAAGTCCATCTGATGATGCCTCCTTGTGAAGCATGTACAATCTATATTTCAAATTACTTTTGAAAATTTAATCATCAGAAAGTAGAATTTCCTCATTTGTTAGTAATAATGTATTAAGTTCCTCTCTCTGTCCCCAAATCAAACAGATAAAGCCTAATTAATAAAAGGCATGCCACAGAATATGTTGAGTCCCACTGGTGGTATAAAATGTAGCACGGGAAGCTATAATTCCTGGATGTTAAATGTGCAGCAATGTGTTAATGGGGCACTGGAACAGACTGCCCAGTGAGGCTATGGAGTCCCTCACTGGAGATGTTTGGGAGCTGTCTGGACACAATCCTGTGCCGTGTGCTCTGGGATGAGCCTGCTTGAGCAGGGAGGCTGGGCCACATGACCCTCCAACCCTACCCATTTCTGTGATTCCATGACAGTGCTTCACTAATACAGATACTTTATAAAAATCAGAAATTATTTCAAAATATACAGTCTAAATACAGATCTTCCTCATCCTGGATCCAACATGAAATTTCTCTCTGATCAGTTTTTTCTAGAGCAGTACAGCCCTCAAGCCTTTAAAAGCTTTTAAAGAGATATTTCTGCTCTCACCCTACAACCAGTTAGGGTGATTTTTATTGGTAATAGAAAAATCTCATGAAAAGTACAATATATTTAGTTAGAATCATAATTCTAACATAGCAGTCACCATCTATCTGGCAAATGTGCATTCTCAGGAATAGGTTGTGGTATTTAACCACAACTGCCATAAGCACCACGGTCACAGTGACCTGCAGGAGGGAACAGAGGTGCTCCTCTCTCTCACCTGGAGGTGATGCCTGTGTCCTTGGCTATCAATGGAGAAGGAAATCAAGCCTGCCCTACACAAATGGCCATGTGCAAACAGGGCACTGCCTGCTCAGTGACTGCTCCTAGGAGGCACAGCCTTTGCAGCCCTGAATTAAAGGCTGTCCCACCACAGAATGTAGGAGACTCTGCTGAAGCCTAATCAGGATTCAGGTTAATGATGGTGAATTATCTATAAAGGTGCTTCATCAATGTCATAAAAGACATTTTTATATATTTGCTTAAAATTCCTCAACAATTCCAGTGAGTAGCACAAAAAGAACATTACTTCTGCTATTTCTACTTTTGTATTCCATATACTTATATATTTGAAAGGAACCAAATTTAATTTCACTTTGCAGCAATTCACATTTGGCAACCTTTCAGGGCAGCATAATAAATTCCAATCTCCATAGGAATTATATTCAAATTCTAATAGGAACCAATAGCATTTATGAAAGTAGTTACAGTACATAAACCAGAAAATTAAAAGACAATTTCTCTTCAGTGTTTTATTTTGTTATTTGAATACTGATTTCTATAGAATGCAAGGAGGCTACAGGTACATGTGCTAAGCTTATTTACTTCACAGACCAATATCATATGTTAGTGTAAAGACAACAATTCTTACATTTTGCATTCACTCCATGTCTCACTCCTCTTTACAAAATACAGCATACAGATTTCTTCATTTGCACTCTTTACACATTTCTGTCAGCCATACTTCTCACTGACAGTAGAATACCTTTCCTTCCCAGTATGGGATTTTTAATCATAACAGATTCTCATTTTCATTCTTCTCTCCTGACACTAAACATATTTGCCTTAATTTGCATATTAAAATCAATGTCACAGTCAATCATTAGGAGTTTATAGAATTCATAATAGTTGACATGGGTATTTTTTTGTCTCTTAGCTGCTGTGTAACATGAATGATCTTATAAACTTCCCATTTGCTCCTCATAGCATATCCCCTTCCTGCAGAGCAATTTAAGACATTGCATTCCAAGAAAACAGGCTCCCAAAAGATTGATTTCTAAAGGAAGACAGAATGTGCATCTCAAACACATCTACAGGAGTAGGTGGATGTCAGTCAAGCCAAGACAGAGTTCTCCCTGACTCCCACACATTCCTCTGTCGTTGCATTGCAAGGTCAAAGCCAGCTGCTTGCTGACAAGTCTCCCAGAGTTCAGTAATGAGTACTCATTTCTGATTCTCCATAATGATAATTTTTAACAAACAGGTTTCTCCCCCACCCCTTAGCTCTGAATGTCAAAATAAATTCAGTGAACCCAGCAGGAATATGATCAAGTCCAGAAGAAGTTTTAAATTCAGAGGTCTGAAAAATCTTCAGCCACATGCTCACTTCACTAGTGCTTCTTCATTAAAATTTCTCCTTTTGGAAATGAACATCTATTTTGGCCACTTCTGTTAGCATTATCTCCCATTTTCTTGTGAAAATTCATGTCTGATGTTTTTTTATTCTTCATCATCAAATATTTGTCATTTTTTAATTTGCATGAACTTCTGTACTTAGATCAAAATTTATTTCTAAAATCTTTTAAAATAAAAATGTTAATACTCAAAATTATGAGTCACCAATTTTGACCTCTTTTAGTGACTGGCCTTATATACTGTCAGATAAGGAGCACAGAGCTTCAATCTCATTCTCAGAACTGCCTACATAAAAATATTTTCAAGATTCACAAACATTTTCCACTAAGATGAATTGATTTAAAATACAGGATAGAGATGATATCTGCAGATGTTAATTGGCCAACACTTCCATCTCTTGGAACTGCTACTTACAATTCCTACCTTTCCTAATGAACTGGTGCTTACTAACCAAGTACCTTTTCTCTCAACACCCAGTGTTCAAAATAATTAATCCTCTGTTTTGTGATTTTGCTGTTTAGATCTCAAATGCTGTCTCTTTTTCACTTCCTGGTTGATTAACAAGGCTGATTCCAAGTAACACTGCCTATCTCCTATCAAATCTTTTGTTGTCTCTTCTTTTGCTGATTCTCTGGGCTGGCAAATCTGTTATTTTTAAGCTGCCCTAATAACAAGACTGCTGCAGAGACCTCCCTGACTCCTTTCTGAATTCATCACTGTTAGAGGGCCAAATATAGAATGCATCAACGTTCAATACCAAATGCAAAGGCTTTTTACTCACAAGACTGGGTTGCGTGAGAGCAAGTTCTGCTTGCCAGGATGAGTTCTGTGGCTTGACTTGATCCCCTGTAACTACTGCTTCCAGAGAGATTTCCTCTGCTCACTTCTACTGTAGCAGTCTACTCCCCCTCTCTTGCCTGCCATTAAAAACACAAAGGGAAAAAATAAGGGCTTTTACCAAAACAAAAAAGAAAAAAAATAACCAAATCAAATAAGTCACCAAAAAAATAAGATCCATGTCTTTTAATAAAATTCTTTTCAAAAGCACTTAGCACAATCACCTCATCTTATCTAGCATGGCCTATTTTCAGTGTCCATAGTGTTAGTGGTCTAATTTATACAGTAAATTGTACAGAGCAGAATTTTTTCTTCTTATTACCTGTATCCAGTGGGCTAGTTTGTGCTTGGCTTCTACTAACACCTTAAGAGATGGTGATAAAAGCCTGTTCTGCTATCATGTATCTCCAAATTCTGCATTAAGTGCTTTGTTTTGGGGTTTTCTTGGCATAGTACAAGCTCCCAAATAAAAGGAGAGAACCTGACCAGTTACCATATGTTTGTGGGGAATACCAGATGCCATGTAATGGGATATCACCATTTTAAGACTTTCTTCATGTAATCAGATAGTTTTGTGAGGCATCAGCTATAGTGATGCCACCACAAGAGCTGACAGAGGGAGTGTTCCTCCCCACAAAGACTAAACCTTTTTTCAGCATTTTTAAATTGCCAGTGATCACAGCGATATTACATTTATACAATGCTTTTGTAAAAATAAGAACTGAATTACAAATACAGCCGAGATTTAAAATAACAAAGCAAAACGGCAGAGAAACTGTTTTACCTCACATGCAGCAAGGGCCACATGCTCACCAGAGGGAGTTACCTAATTTCTTCCACTGTAACAGTGCTGACTGTTGTGCTGGGGATTTGCTGTGAGCAGGCAGGCTCATCAGGGTTTTATCAAGCAGCTATGGGATCCTGCTTGACTGCACAGAGGACACAGATATTGAAGATTCCAAAAAGTTCTTAAATCCCAGTTTCCCCAAACTGACTGCAAGAATCACCTCGCCTGTCTCAGAGGTCACAGCTCCATCTCCCCGTGGCATCCTGCAGAGCTTGGCTTGACATCATTCCTGCTGGCCTCATCATTTTGATGTGCACCTGACTCTCCATGAGCCTGGAAGGTAAGAAATACAGGAAAACAGCTTTAGACAACTTCCCTTTCAATTCTATGTGAAGGTGTCAAGAATGTGTCTTACAATGAAAATTTCTGCAAATAGCATGGGGGAGAAGTTAAGTTTTCTTTTTTCTTCTCTTTTTTTTTTTTTTTTTTTTTTAATCCTTCTGGTTATTTCCAAGGTAAATAATAAATCAATACTTCTCTTGGTACTGAAAATAATTTTTCAGTCAGTTCTATTTTTACATTCTTAGACAACTTCAAAGATGGGGGTTTATCTCCTTAGGGCAGTAATTTGCTTATGAAAACTACCTGAAATCAAGAGAATCCACCCAATCAGCCACTTCTCTGACCCTGGCAAATTAATGTATCAGAACACATGAAAGCAGAAAACATAGCAGGGCAATACTTTTTTCCTCCTAGCTCTGTGCTTGCTAAAGCACTTCAAGTAAAACATCTATTAATCTTTAAAACATTGAATTTAATTACTCTGACTAATGTTAGCTTGTATCAAATGTTACAGATATGTTTTCCTTCATAAAGTACAAAATGTTCTTCTAATTTTAAATTTGTGTAACTAAATTCCAGTCCTCTGAGCAATTTTCTACCTAATTTCGACTGTCAATTGGCAGAAAAGCAGCTTCTCTGCAGTGATCCAATCATCTGGTTCACTTCTTCACCCAAACAAATTTATCAAAGGCAGTAGTTTTTTGGTTTTTATTTTTTTTGAAAGTCCATAAGAGTAAACTGTAGGGTTTTCATGAGATCACTACACTTTTCATTGGAATCTCTACAAATAGTCTCTCTTGCACTAACAGTCTGGGATCTGACTTGCTTTATGTTGTCAGGTGATCCAGATTTGCTGGCGAAGGGCTGCAGAACACAATACTTGTACTCTGACAAGGTGTTGCAAGGTTGGGCTATAGGCAACTTCAGCTCTCAGGCAGGATAACAGGTTGTAAAAGCTGAAAATAAATCATCATGGGTCCTGCATTGCCTGCAGCAGATCTCCAGAAAGCCAGACTGGCTGCTGCTTCTGCCAGTAAGGATTCAGTGGTAAATACTGAGTGAAAACTAGTCCTGAAGTGGGACTTTTTGCAAAAACATAATCATTCAGAAACAGCATTTCCCATTCTGACCCTTCCTATTCTTCAGTTAGCTGTGGCAAAATGAAGCCAGTCTCACTGGAATTCTCCTTCCTCAAGTCACGTTTGCACACAGGTGCAAATTAGGCTGGACTGCAAGCAAAAACAACAGCTCTTTCCTGCCAGAAGGAGAACAAAATGTTTTCTACTGTTTAAGCTCTCAACCAAAAAGAAAAAACAAGCATACACATACACATACACCTGTAACATTTTAATATTATTGTTGTAAGAATGTAAGAAAAAGAAAACTCAAACACAGCAGTCACAAAGTACAGGGGGGAAAAGGATAAAATAAAATATAAATGTTTGCACAGCTAAGCACAAATATGTGAACCATTAAACTTTTTTGAAGCAGAGATATAGGCACAGTGGAAGGGATGAAGATTATTTTTGTTTTGTATAATCTTGGCCCTATGGTACCAGGGGATCCAGCTGGGATTCTGAGGCTGTCCTATAGAGGGCCGACATATTTTCTCCTCAAAGAACATGAAAGTTCTTTTAATCCAGTCATGAGATATAGAATGCAAAATGTTAATGAAGTCCCTGGTTTATTAAACTTATCTTTGATCCAGTCTGAGTTATGATTATTCTGTAAAAACAAACCACAAAACCAAAACAAAGTCAAATATTGCTGTTAGCTTACTCTCCGTACTGAGAAGTGATCCCTACAACTCATTACAAAGAAAATCCACATTGCCAAGGGCATTGGTTTGGCACGGCCAGGTTTTGGGTAGCGAGGGCCACAAAGATGGGCTCTGTGAGGAGCTGCTGGAAGCTTCCACCATGGCCAGCAGAACCATTCCCTCATGGCCCCGAAGATGGACATGCTGCTGGGCAAAGCTGGGCTGATGAGAGAGGCTGGTAGCACCTCTGTGATGACATACTTAAGAACAAAATCAAAGTCAGAAGTTTTTACTTCTAGTCAAAGAGGAGGAGGAGATGAAACCATGTGAGGCAAACAACATGGTGACACCAAAGTTGGGGAAGGAGGCAGAGGAGCTGCTTCAGGCGCCTGAGCTGAGATTCCTCTGCAGGTGTAGTGAGACCAAGGTGAAGCAGCTGTGCCCCTTCATGGGGATACATGGGGAATGCAGAGATCCACCCACAGCCCATGGGGATCCACGAGGGATGCAGAGATCCGCCTGCAGCCCATGGGGATGTGCCCAGGCCGGAGCGGGTGGGTGCCTGGAGGAGGCTGTGCTCCAGGGGAGATCATGGCGAGAGGGGCCCCGCTCCCTGGCCGGAGCAGCCCGTCCTTGGGCCCCGCTCCCCTGTCCTTGCAGGGCAGGACCCGAGGGCAGAGCCCCAGGTCAGAGCAGCTCTGGGAGCGCTGCCGGCCCTGGGGGAGCTCTCGCTGCAGCAGGGGCGGCTCGGCCGCTGTTCCTGAGGGCGGGCCCAGGCCAGGGCAGCCCATGGAGAGCTGCGTGCTGTGGGAGCCCATGGAGAGCTGCCTGCTGTGCTGTGGGAGTCCATGGAGAGCTGCCTGCTGTGAGAGTCTATGGAGAGCTGCCTGCTGTGGGAGGCACCCACGGCCTCACAGGGGATGACTCCTCTCCCGGGGCAGCGGGAGAAAATCTCGGTGATGAACTGACCAAAGCCCCATGCCCTGTATCCCTGCGCTGTCGGTGGGATGGACGGAAGGGTTTGGGAGAGAAGGTGTTTCAAGGGCTTATTTTACTTCTCATTATTCTCCTCTGATTCTGTTAGTAATAAATTTCATTTTTCAACCTAAGTTGAGTCTGTTTTGGCCTTGAAATGTTTCTCCCAGTCCTTACCTCACTCATGAACCCTTTGTTAACTTTTTTTCCTTTTCTTTCCTTTGCCAAGCTGTGACAAGGAAGAGTGAGCAAGCAACGCTCGCGGGTGACTGGCATCAGGCCACCATCAAACCACAACACCAAGAAAAGTCTAAAATTCTTTATTTAGTTTCTCCTGGGCACTTGCCTGTTAGCTAATCTATTAGCTTTACTTTTATTTTTTTCAGGAATAACCTTCTTTGCCTACATAGTGAAGTAAAGTAATTTTATAGTGTTTTTATCTTGCATTTCACATTTGTTCCTTGCTAGTGAATTCAATGGACCATTCTTAACTGCAGCCTAAAATTGTTGATTATGGCTCACACACACCCGAAGTAATACTAAACTCTGGATGAGCACTTGTAAATTCAGACATATCAACTGCTTGAACAAGATCCACAGAAAAGAGAGAAAATTCCCTTTTTCAGAAATGCATGGTAATCTGCCAAGAACTATTATAGATACAAATGAACGTGAGAGAAAATAAAAACAGTTATAAATGGCAGAAAATCCTAAGATTCAAACATGTAAATGCATGACAGCCAAGAGAGAGGGAAAGCATTCATTAGAATGGAGAGGAATCACTCCATATACGAATGAGAATTCTTTGTTCAAGGAGCAATCCCTCATCACATCAATATGCTTCTAGGACATTTCCATGAACATACAGATGAACAAGGTACAGAGAAGGATGCTGAAAACAGCAACACCACTCAAGGCAAAATAGCATCTGGACAAGAGTATATAGACCAGAAGTCTTCAGCCTGGAAGAACAAAATCAAAGAAGGATGAAATAAAGGTATACAAAATCATAATTTAGAAACTAGGAGCATCAAATGTTCAGAGATTAAAGAAAAAGGAGGTAGCTTTATGAATGATATGTGTTTCAACTTCAGAACTCACTGTGCCTCAGTATTGTGTACAGGAAATTTTACAAAAATAAAGAAAATTTTAGACATGTTTTCTGATGAAAAAAATGCACAAAAGGTTGCTAGACATGAAAAGACACTCGGTCTCAAGAGGTGCCTAAGCCATGGGTGTCTGGAAGTTCAGCAGACATACCTAGGGGAAAACATGTTGGGATTTTTTTCTTTCTCTGTTTTTATTGGTTGCTGTTAAAGAGTGCCTGCCTAGGTGAACCTCATGACTGAATCCCTCAAATTACTTCACACACTTCATGCTTCAAAAAACTTAACACTTACCTTCCTGCCTGTTGTTCAGACCTTATTTTCTCATCTCTTATTTTCTGCAAGCTTTATCACTCTATAACTGTCAAAATACTGGATTAACATCATTTTCACATTATATTGATAAAAAATGCATAGTCAGTATAGTGTTTTATGAAAAGGAGGACCTAGTAGTAGAACTCAATAACTGGCTTTTAAAAATTTAAATCCACTGGTGGAACAAGTAAAATCCCAAGATTTCTAAAAATACCCTTAGCTTTTTTGATGGATTAGCAACTGAAGGATTTTTACACAGAGAGACAAATTTCAGGGAGTAATTATCTAGTGTACAGGAAAGAGAGAAGATCTAAGCCCCAACCACAGCTAAGTGACAGACAGACAAGAGTCAGAAAGGCTACACCATTACCACAGCCATGGCAAGGATTTTGGGGGGCATTAGCACATTGCCCCAGCACACAGCAAGAAACTGCATCCAAAAAACAACTTCACATCCCTTGTTCAGTGAGCAAGCCCTGTCAGATACATGGCAGTGTTACAGAAAAACACTGCACAACAGCAAGTCAACTGCATGGGTATGATAACATGTAATTAGTGTATTTTTGCAACACCCAGGGTCCCTGAGCAGCTCAGTATTCAAGCAGATGACCAAAGTTGGGCTTGGAGGAAAAAATGTGATGGGAAAAATCATGTTAAACAATGCTTGTGACCCTACACAGAGACTTGTTAGCTCATGACAGTCCAGTTATCTTCTGGAAGTATTAGAGGGAGGAGAAAAAAAAAAAAGATAAAAACTTAAACTAACTAGAAGACTAGGCAGAATTAGAGAAAAGCTGAAATCTAGCACTTACTAAAGTTAGAAGACTGAATAATAACAACATAAATATGGGAAAATATTAAAAATTGAGAGAAAATTGAGCATTAAAAATGTTCAGCACAAGAGAAGAATGAAGATGATCCATCACTCTTTCCTGACCCAAAAGACAGTGCAAAATTAAAATACCGGACATCTTAAAATATTTATATACTCACTGTTACATCTTCACTTTTTTCACATTTATATGGAACTATAAGTATATTTAAGTATAAAGATGTGGTTAAATGACCACACTAACTTGCTTCCCATTAGCATTTCTCACTGTTGCCATCAATCAGTTGCAGAGATCCATTACCAGCTTCTTGAAATGTAGTCTCAGAACTGCCAAGCACACACCATGCTACAGGATACTGATTAAAATGTGTGTTAGAAAAGTCCAGCACAATTTTCAGAAGAAACTATCAGTCACTAATGAAAGGACCCATTCAGTAACTTCAGAGTTACATTTTGATGTAAGCATTTTCTACCTCTACAGGAAGTTCCCTTTTATTTTGATAATTTTGCTAACTGCCTAAACCTTGCTGAGATTTTACTTCCTGTCAGCTGCCACAAGCTAGCCAAAACCTTTTTTCCCTCTGGTGAAAATGAGGTTGGGGGCTTCCATTCACATTTTTCATCAAGACCCTGATGGTAAGCAAATGGGCCATAAGGGGTCCCCGGGTTTCAGGTCACGGCTTTTCCCACACCTCAGGCATTCTTAGGCTGCCACCAGGCTGCAGGACCAGAATGAGCCTTGCCTGAGCTCACTCGTGCCCTTCCTCCTATGTGAGGAGGAGGATGCTCCTGGCGCTGTGCTCAGGCACCCCTGGGGTGTGTGCATGCACAGCCACTCACATCTCACACACACGGGCAGTGTAAGAGCCAACAGCAGCACACACCAGCCTACAATAAATATGTGGGCTCTGTGTGGAACAGCCTTTGCAGACAGGAGCATAAGCTGGACACGACTGACAACCAGTTTATTCAATTATTCAATTAACTAAATAAAAACTAGCCTACATTGTGATATGGATTACCCCAGAGACAATGAACCTAAAACATTAAAGATGCATTGTTGTTAACCAGTCCACCTGACCTCACTCCCCCTTTCTGTAAAAAATATCTTTTTTCCTCTAGTATAGGCTTCAAAATACAGGCTTCATCACAAAAATGTGTTTTTTATTTTTCAAACAGAGCACTGAAGAAAAACCCAAGAAAGCTTTTAAAGAATTCAGAAGCATTCTATAGTGCTGTCTTTATTTTTAAAGTGGCTACACTGAACAAGAATAATATGCTTTAAATTACTGCATGAATGAAAGAAGTGTCTCACAAAAATAAATAGCAGCTGCAATGCTTTTGGCTTTTAGTGCTGGGGAAATCAGAAGCTTTGTATTTCTAAAGAAATCAACCTCTCTGTTCCTTACTAGGCACAATAATAAAAAATTATGCCCTCAAATTATGCCCAAAATTACATTACAGGACCAATTTAAAATGAGAGCTCACTGTAATTTATTAATACAATCTGTCAAGAAGTTTAAGTAGTTGTACAGTATCCCAAACAAAGAGAAGCTGGTTATAGTGTGGCCACACTCCTTTTCTCACAGGAACATCCCATGACATACAAGATGGCAGCAGGGCCTTGTAAAACTACTCAATTAGTTTAGTCACCAAGAGCCAATTCTTTGGAAGAGGAGTTGCTGGTGGTCAGTTGAAGTGGTCATGAAGGTGCTTTGCATCATTGGGCTGGTCCTTGTAGAGGGAATATTAAGCAAACCCAGCCCCCAAAGGCTAACAAGGTTTTTTAATTGCTTCAGGACATTACCCCAATATAGGATTAGTGTGATCCTGTCCTGTCCAGGTGTGACTTCACTAGATGAGCTAAAAGGGCTCTGGCCCCCTCCCTACAGCACTGTTTAGAGAGCAGGATGCAAAGGCTGTCATTGCCCATAGCTGCTGCCCTTCCTCCCCTCTGCAGCTGGCCACATCCACCCTTGTCCCCTACACCAGCTGCTGCCATTAATGCAATTTCAGTTATTGCTACCAGTTGTTATTTAAGTCTAAAATCCAAGGGTGAAGTCTAATGCAGGCAAGAATGAACAATCTTACAAACTACTTTAAGCAAATAATGAATCCCTGAACCAAATTTTCTACTTTGTGTGATAAAGGGGGGTGTTGTTTAACATACCAAAGTATCTATGTTCCCATTTCTTCTGTAGGAAAGAATTTGAGTAGCATGCCATGGAACAGGCAGGGAACTTGAGGTATGCCATGCAAATTTATGCAGAGCTGACTTAAAAGAATAGAAGCAGATTTTCTATATATATCCATGCCAATTACACCATATGATTCCATTTTTATTTCCTCTTCTGTGTCACCCTCCCTTCAGTTTCCTGCTTATCATTTCACACAAGCACATATGGGGGACCACACCTTCCACTTGCACAAACCAAACAAAACAAACCAGCTATTTTTAAGAATCCATCGGCAGCTATTCATTCAAAGCTGTTCAAAGCACTCATCTGGGGTTGCTAGGTGACAAACTATGGTGACACCTCTCTCCTTATTAGCAAAAGAATTTAGCAGGAAGAGTAAGAGATGTAACTGATTTAAGCACTGTCCAGCCAAACTGTGTCAAGCCTGCAGGAACTTGGGCTGTCGACTTGCTCATATTTCTGTGAAACTTTATCCTCCCCAGCTGCAGGGAAGTACAAGTGTCAATTAGACAGAAGCTCCATCACACTCCTGAAAATGTTTTTTCATTATCCTGATTCAGAGTCTAAATATTTGGTTGTAAGTGACACTGCTTAAATGAGACATGTCAGTTTATAACTTGCTGTTGCAAATACTTTTTCTTTTTTTTTTTCCTTTTGTCAAATTCATTGTTGTTGTCAATACTCTGATCATGAAAATATGAATGGATGTGAATGACTTTAAGGCTGGTAACTTGCAGAAAGGCAGCACTGCTGTTTGCCATAGATGTCTATGTAAAACAGTCCTACCATTGCTAGAGATACCTCTTAAAAGAGTGCACTGCTACACAACAGATATTACTCGACATTCAGCCACCCTAAACTTTGTGATCAAGTCCTGCATATTCCCCAGCCTCATGGTATCGACACACCTTGGTGTTTAATGTCCTCAAATATCTTGATAGCTAGAAAATTGTCACAGATATTTTACTAGGCCTTTATGAGGTTTACTTCCAAGGCTGCAAGGTGCTACTACAAAAACACAGATGGTCTGAGGATGGCTCACTTAATAAGTCAAAAGGACAGGCAAGATCATGAGCACAGGGCAATGGAATTGTACAGCAGAGCAGTCATCATTCATCCAAAACTCCCATTGCACTCAGTGCAGAGTGAAATACACAGTGAAGTCCTCAGCATTGACATGGTCACCTGAGCCTGTCACCTTTCTGTCACTGTCATATTTTCTGGAAAAGTCCCCTTGCCCAGGATTCTTCTCCTGGGAAGCTGAGAAGCCTCAGAGAAAAAGGAAAACAATATAATCTCATTTGCTTCTCCTGTGTTTTGCTGCTTTGGAATGTGGTTTGGACATTGTTTACCAACTGGTGCATGTTTCATTGGTTTCATGTGAATTGTTTTTACTTAATGACCAATCATTGTCTAGCTGTGTCAGGGCTCTGGAGAGAGTCACAAGTTTTTCATTATTATGTTTTAGCCTTCTGTAAGTATCCTTTCTCTATAGTTTAGTATAGTTTTAGTATACCATTCTTTTATATAATACAGATGATAAAATAATAAATTGGCCTTCTAAGAACATGGAGTCAGATTCATCAGTTCCTTCCTTCAGTGGGGGTCTCAGAAAAAAACACACCTTTCCTTTTCCACTGTGACATGTGCACCAAGATGTTATAGAAGGTGCAGTGCTGTATTCATGTACTTTTTTTCTAGGCCTGTGTGGTGCTAAATCCTTACTGAAAACCCAAAGACAAAGAACGTGATGTGGGTTCTGTATGCAGACAAACTGGGTTCACTCACACCACAGAGATTTGTTGCTTGAATAAAAAGAGCTTGAAAAAGGACAAGCCACATACTGCCCAAGCCATTGCTTTGCATATAAGGACCCTTCAAACCTCACACAAAGCCAAGGACAAATTTGGTGTGTTTGTTTCCAAATGACTGCAGGCTAGATGTTGTAGGTGCACCAGGCAGGAGGGCAGAAAGGGACAAGATCTGGTTTTGCTCTCTCTGGACGGCAAGCAACAGTTGCCTCTTTTAGTGTTAACTGGAATCTTAAGGAGAGTGGGAGGGGAGGGGATTTTGGCCTCCATCCCATTCACTAAGGAGGAATAACTGTATCAACACGAGCTTGTAAGTAAGTGTGTGCTTCCATGCACCCCAGGGATACATTTAGAAGCATTCTTCAAGTGTGGGTATTGGAAAGTGACTCATCAGAAACAACATAAATAATTAAAATCTGAATACTGATAACCCTTTTCTCTCACCTCATTGCCTTCCTAAAAGTGGGTTTTTAAAACCTTGTATATATAGTTATTCTAAGGATCATGCTTCCAGTCCTTCCACCCACTTCATGCAGATTTACTTGAGGTCTTTTGCAAGCTCTGGTTTAATAAATAAATGCATAAAATTATTCACCTTCTTCCCTGCTCTGCTCCTCTTATCTGCAGATTTCTGTGACAGCATTCCTTCATTTCTTTGTTGAAGCCATATCATCCTGCATTCCAAATTATGGATTGTTTGAGTCTTCTAAAATTAAATTGTGTTAGGCTAGGTTTATCTTGGTTTGATTTGGTTTTCTTTTCTTTTCAGAAACCTCCCAGACTCCATGTCTCCTAATAGGGAACATTACTGGTCTCATTCCACAGCCTGGCTGAATCAGAAAACTCAGCACCGAAAACCAAGCAAGCAAGATGTCAAAATTCTCAGCCTGAAAGAAAAACAGCAGCACCAGCCATTGATTTTCAGGTGCCACATCTTCCTGCTCACTGACATCTTCTGATTAAAGGCTTTCGAGTATAAACTTAGAATGACTTCATTGACTCCGGCAGAATAACTTCAAATTTACACAGCTGAAATCAAGATCTCAATCCAACTCTCATTTTGTAGAAGATAGCTTGATCCATAGCTTTGCCTGGATAGGATTAGAATGTATGAGCACAAAACTAAAAAACAAACAAGAATAACCCCAGGAAGTAAAACACTTGTGAGCCTGTATCCACTCTTGTGCAGTTCTATTTCACAGCATCAGGGATGAATTTGTCCCTTTTTGTTGGCTGCAGTAACTCCTGGTGTTATTTTACATTGCTATATTTCTTTTTTTGTTTTCGCTCATGCCAACAAGACCATGAGTAGGCGTCATATAAGATAAATCTCACTAATTTTAAAAAAGAAAAGCTAGTGAACAGGAGGTGATAAATGCTGTGCTGCCTACTCAGGTTCTGTCACATAAGATGTCACTTCTTTATTTTAATTATATTTTCTGCCAACTCACAAAAGCCAGCAATTTCTACTGCATGTGCTACCTTTTGCTATGAAATTGTTCTGCATAGCCAATTGCAAAAAAAAAATCTACTTGCTTCTGTCCCAATTTTTTCCATATTCATTTTATGGCTGCCTCCTGATGTTCTATAGAAATTGTCTCTTCAGGAAATGTTAAAACATAAATAACAGCTTGTTCATTGCAAAATGACTCAGACTGCACACAGAATTAATTCTTTTTTCAAGTGTTAGTAAAACACATAGGGAGCCTAAAAGATCATCTGCATTTTAGATGCAGTTTTGGTACGGATGCTCACAGCTAGCTAGTTTTGATACAAAATTGTGCTTGATTAAAAAAATTGAATGCCAAAGAGCCATGGTATCTAGAAGGTACTAACAGTGAATCCTTATCTGTTTGCATGGCAGGTAGGAATTCTTGTCATCCTGGAAGGTGAATTAAATTCAGCTTCAAGCAACACCAGCTGTTTGATTGACTGCTGACATTGGCAGATGCTTTGAGCAGAAGGGCCACCCCTCACAGACCTGGGCTGAGCAGTGCCTGCAGCTGAAACAGCAGCATGGGTACATGGACCACAGATACAGGGATGGAATCCCACATTTCACCAAAATAAAATTCACGTTACAAATGGAAATAGTTAAAAACAAACAAACAAACAAACAAACAAACAAACAAACAAACACACCAAAACCCACTTGTTAAACTATATGGAACCAAAGCCTGAGGAGAGTGAACCAAGACTCAAGTGTAAGGATTAAGTCCTGGAGGAGTCGTTAACACAAGGTTCACACCAGATTTAGTGCTTCTGTAAGTGAAGGAGGTGGAACTGTGGCTTTGACTAATTTTATTTAAAGTAACACATCTAAAGGATTATTTCCAGTAACAGAGTGAAAAGCAATGTAGGAAATTATTTATTATTATTATTATACTGAACTAGAAATCAAAAGCTGGAATGAGAGAATAGATTTTAGGACAGAACCTAATCTAGTCAGGAGTAGAAAAAGAAAGAACAGCATAGGCAGGTCAGATAGTTTAATCATACACTTGGGGGGCCATCAGATAGCTGAATTATGCTGCAGACAGCTTCAGATCCAAGTTTGGGTAGTTCAACTAAATCAAAACTGGTCAGATCACAGCCTGAATGCAAAACTACATTTCTGAAGTAATCAGTGTTGTGATTTTTGTACTATAACTATCCAGCCAGATTGGTAGTATTTCTGGTCATGTATCAACCTTTAACAAAGGAAGAACATAACTGCCTTTTCATTTGACCATTTATATTTCATTAATCACAATGTCCTTATTATGCAGAAAATTAGACTGAATTAGAAATGAACATAAAATTGAATTACATCTCAAGTAAAAATATAGATTCCCTAATAGTTTATCCTTGTCAAACCAGCAATTCAATGATCTCTTCTCTGTGATGGGCCTTCTAGGGACTCTTTGCTCAAGGATAAATGAAGTTCTCCACCCTTTAAGTACCTGGAGCACTTCTTTGTAGGAATACTGATCAATTCAAATTCCAGCTCTGCATAGCAAGGAAGCTGAGGATCTTCAAAACCATAACCTGATTTGGTTTTCTGGATCCATCTCTACTGCTAGATCTAGCAGAGCACTACTTGTGCACTTGCACAGGCAAGTATAACTTAGGCTAAAATTGCTAAGAAACATCAGCATTTTTTTTCATGACACGTCAAGTCTCTGTATGGGGAGTGATGGAGAAGCATCTGCTTTACTTGACTATAAAGCCAGTCCTTTCTCCTTCCTTTAGGAAAAAAAAATAATGGAACATTACTTACCTCACAGGATTCTTTAATTAATGATTAAATTTAGAACAGACATTTTTATGTCTGTCTTTATATTTGTACATTTTCAATTTATCAGTAAATCACCCATATTATCTATGTGAAATCCATATTTGTTTACAGTACAGCGTGTAAGCCTTAGGCAATATTTTTCACAAATCATTTCTGTTTCTCTGAAGAAAACTTCCTTTTACTATGTATTTATGCAAAGTTTTTTCTAAGTATAAATAAATCTTACTGGCTTGTAAGTTCTCTGTTTGTGTGAGACAAACATTGGGCCTATGCATAACTGTGAGCCATTTTGCAGATATATCTTCTCACCTGAGGGGATCCGATTTCTTTGTCCCCCAAGAATCTTGCATTTGGGAACATACAGAGCCCTTATTTTCCCCATCTCTGTTTGGATTTGGAGGCTCTTTCTCCCCTCTTTGGCTCATGGTGTGGCAAGCAGGACCGTGCTGGGGGAATTTTCCTGACTTTGCACCCAGGACTCTTGGGCTCACAGTTCTACACTGCGGTGAACAAGGTGGTGATGGGTTAATGGTTGGAGATTATGACCTTAGAGGCCTTTTTCTGCCCTAATGGATGCTATGATTCTATTATTCTTCACTATAAATGGCCTTCATGCAGTTCACAGTGCCACAATATTGTGCATTCTCTGTGTATCACAGGGAATACTCTGTATGCACATCTTATCCAGCACACAAACCCCCACTTCTGGTTCTCTGTAGGGGTTCCTTCTGAAGCAATACCAGGGATGACAGGTTTGCTATCAGGGAGCTTTGAGTACCCTTCATCACTTTAAGAGGTTTATACACACTCTAACTGTACATAACTCTCATCTGCAGTAAGTGCTTGTTGAATGAACATGTCAGCATTGCATGCAGTGTGAATATAATATTTATTTGAGGATCTATAGAGGCATCAGGAAGTCACTGAGAAGTTGAATCATATTTACTTTTATGTCCTAGGAAATCAGCACAATGCTTGGAACAAACCAAGACTTCCAAGGTGTGAGAGACTGCACTCAGTGGTGAAACTCCCCTCTCCCTGCAGGGAAGGTCTGATGAGGCACTATTGCCTTGTGCTGATGTGAGAGGCAGCTGAGGAGGCACATGAACCATCAGGGACCCCTGATGCACCCCCAGACCCATTTCTGAAGCCTTCCACCAGAGGACAGCATGTGATTCAAAGGTGTTGCAGCAGATCCAGAGCCTTTTGCAAAAGACAGTGTAAAACTTTCCTCACCCACAGGGGAGGTACCTGGGTGTTCTTCCCACCCAGCCTGAGTCTATTTTAACCCATCAGACTTTGTGTTTTGGGGGTTCTTGGGGGTAGATCAAGATAGATCAAGACTATCACTTCAACCAACAACAACAATTAAATCTCATTGTGAATCCATGGGTGGTGATTATGCATCTTTCTACTCTTATCCTTTCTTATTCTTTCTTTTCTTTATACATTTTCTCAAGTAATATTTTGATGCTTTCATATTGATATATTACTATAGATAATAATAACCAAAATGGCCACATGTCTGCTTTAGGACCAAACTGTACTAAAATAGACCCTACAAAAATATATATTTATATATATATATATACTTTTTTTAGAATATCTATCTATCTATCTGTCTATCTATCTATCTATCTATCTATCTATCTATCTATCTATCTATCTATCTATCAATCTGTCTGTCTATCTGTCTATCTATCTATCTTTAAGTCTTCATGGGAGAAAATCCTTTTATACAGAAGCATTAATTTCTTTTCACCTGGAAAAGCCTGACTCTAGGAAACAGCTCTTCTGCAAGTCAGATCCTGGTTGCATTGTCGCTCTCAGGAGTCCAGCTTGGCAGCTCAGGCACTTTCTGCCTTATTTAATGCACAAGAATTACAGCCCAGTAGGCTACAAAGAACCAAAATGGCTCCTCTTACCTTAGTATCTCAAGCAGTTTAGCAAATGAGAAATGAGCAGCTCAGTTACTTCACCAGGGACCTCTGCGGACAAGGTGACAAAAGAGAGCAGACACCCAGCTGCTACGTTAGGTGCTGTTGCTGCTCTCTAGAGGGAAACCTGTTCTACTCATTAATTGAAGCCTTGGGCTCCTTGTCTGCATGCATGGCATCACACACAGGATTTGAACAGTTCCACTATTGGGTTGATGTTACTTTCTCCCTTTATTTTTTTTTTTTTCTGTAAGTTTGCAATCAAATGAAATAATTATTTCACATTATAGGATATGTTCAAAGGAAACTTTGGTCAGAAAAGGGGAAAATACTGAAAGTTTAAATCCTGGAACAACCACACCCTTCCTCTCCAATGACAAAACCACCAAACTTGAAAGAGGTAAAGGAAAGATCTGACCCAGCACCCAAAATAAAAAGTCATTGCTGCCAGGTATGTAACTACATACATCCTATAACCAGATCTGGTCCCAAGCAGAGCTGTGATGACACTGATGATGTCATGATTCACTTTTTGCAAAATCCATCTAGCATAGACAAAGCCTAGTGGTATAGAGTATAAGAAGTTGATTTCTGGCTCACCAGCAGTCAGGAGGACCACTACAAGCTATAAAATGTGCACCTTGGTGAATGAGACTTGGAGCTGGTGTGTTATCCTAGCTCCTTCTGTTCAACAGTCCTACGTGTTAATGAGGATTCTAATTGGATAAGTGGAAAAAATCCCACATCAAATATTCCACTGCCTTTGAATAGCAGGACTGTTGTCCCTTGTCAGTGCTACCTGCCTTTCTTATTTGTCTGAACTAAAATTAGAGGAGCCAATGGAAGCAGGGTTCTGCTGAACTGTTACATTTTCAGGGCAGAACAGAAGACAGTAAAGTGCCTAGCACAAGAACTGCTCTGAAGCCAGCACTGCCATATGGTAGAAAATTGTGTTGGGGGGATTTTTTTTTTCTTGCATTCTGAATAAGAAAAATCAAATCAAAATGTTAACATTGCACTAGAAAGATGTAAATTTGTAATCAGCCCATTTAATTTCAAAGAAATTTACCCTTTTTTTTTGAGATACAGAAATATTTTTGTGATTTCATTCGCTCTGTTCTGTAGAATAAATGTTTTTACCACACAACTCTTTAAATGAGTTTGCAATAATGTAGCAATATTGAGAGAGAACAAGAATATTGAATAAGAACATTGAATATGTTGATATCCTAATTGGTATTCATTACAGAAATGAGTCATTCTCAGTGATGTGGCAACTGCTGCTTGGTTTACTTATTAACAGGTGGCACAGCAGCCAGTGGAATACAAGTCTGAAACTCATAATTCATGACTGGCAATTTTCTATTAACCTTTCTTGTATTTTTATTGATAAAAAATACAAATATAATTCAAAAAAATGGAGCAGGTAAGGTCTTTTAATTTTAGTTGAAATTACCAAGGCAATCAACACACTTTAGTGAACACTCTGAGTCTACAAGATTCTTTTTTTTTTCAATAGAAATTATGTACAATTTATTACATGTTGTATCTATCTTAGATGTCAAAATTCATGTTTAGAACATAAGAAATAATGGATTTACTCATACTCACAGAATTTCTCTAGAATTTAGTGTTAGAAACTAACCCTTCTGTCTGTACCAGGATAGCTCAAAAAGATACTACCTGCAAATGAGTCAAATACTGACCCTTTTTGAAGATAATGAGCAGGACTTGAACTGTTTCTTGGGCCAGATTTCCCAGCTGTTCTGGAAGACCTAGTTAGGGAAAAAAACCCATATGTCTAGGAAAGCATATAGATATTTGGACATGTATTCCTACCAGATTTGAGTATGAATCCAACATCAATTAAGTCAATAAAGCCTTACTTGAGCATCCCTCACACTGTTCACCACTCCACTGCCCTCATCCCTCTGTCTGTCCTTTCTACTTTCTTGTCTATTTAACATCATTATAAACTGTGGACTTGTAGCACATACTTGTAAGTTTTTTTCAAGACTGCTTCTTCTGTTTCTTTCTACTTCTGATTTATTTATCTGCTTACAAATTCTTATATTGATAAAAGTTAAACAGACTCAAATTTACTATATGTGGTCAGATTCTCTTTGGTTATTATATTTCCCAGCCCAACTGAAAATATTGTTTTTAATAAAAATACAGACAGAATATTGTTTAAAAGAAGTCATTGTGAGTGCAATTTTTTCTGTACCATTTTTATGAACCAGCTACCAGTGTAGAGCTGGGTTTGGGGTTTGTTAAGTTATCTAAATGTAAGGAAACAACAGGAAACTTGCACTGAATTTGCTGGTAGCTAGGAGGATATCACTAAAAGTGCTCCAAGTCTTATTTCAAATCTTTTCCAAGATGATTTAGACCTAATTCTTCTTCAAATGATCCATCTAGGATTTCTCAATTTCTTTTCTGTCTGCCATTTCTAAAGATTCTTTAGCAAGAAAATTTTCAAAAATAACATTTTCTTTTTATGATGAGAGTCTTCCTTTAAAAAGAAACATCTGTCAGTAGTTTTGCAGTGCAATGGGGACTTGGAAACAATGGTCCCATGGCTGCTCCTTCCTGCTGCTCACTGAGTGACTTTACCCAAGTCTCAGCATGGCTCTGTTACCTTAGCTACCCCTTTTTGTCCTTGCCTGCTAAACTGTGCTGTCATTGTGGCAAGGGCTGTGACATACAATCCATTTCTATGGTCCCTCGCACAATGAGAACTTGATCACAGCTGGGGTCTAGAGACACAGTGTGGCAACACAAACAACAAAAGAGACCTTGAGTACAGGGGAGGAGCAGCAGGGCAAACTGCCCTCAAGTTCTTGGACAACTTATTATCATTTCCTACAAGAAATACAATAGAAATTGACTTAAAGAAATGTCAGAATATCTTTATCTCAAATCCAACCAGTACTTTCTAAGCACAGGTCTCTTTCTGATGTACTAAGAAATTTCTGGCTTCACCTGTAATGAGTTCACTGAGAGGAAATTAAGGAAGAGCAAGCTCTGAATTTGCATGAAGAAAAGCATTTCCTCCAGATCACTATTCCACCTATGACAAGGAGGAATATCTGAAAACCAGCCCTTAGGGATGTTTTTTGGACATCTTAATGATTTGGCTCAATTACCTCTGAGGTCTTTTCAAACCATAGCAATTCTAAGATTATACATTAATATTTCAGCTACCTTGCCAAAGTCATTTGACAGTGCCAATGCAAGCTGGAACTGAGCTATTGACAAATGTTAGTGGGGCCCCTTGCATG